GGAGCGCTATCAAAGCTTCGAAATGGCGTCCAGTTCTAAGTCTGCTTTTATTAGTGATGATATTGCTAAATATGTCAATGTAGTAAAGGTTTCCTTAAGTTTTTGAATATGTAACTTCATTTACTTGCGATTCATAATTTTTTCCCTAAACTGCTGTAAAATCAGCAAAAATGCCTTGGCAATTTTAGCATAGTTCCTAGGATATTGGTTGGCACTCAAAGGGTTAAAAGCCCAGCAAAGCAGTAAGGTTATTTTTAAAGTTTGGTGACAGTAAGAGCCATGTCCCTCAGCTGGCTCAGTGGTTGTGTTGAGAGTTGCACCCATCTCTAGCCAACGTGGGAGTTTCACACTATGAGGTAGACACAAACGTGGCTGGGAGAAAAGCTACCTCCCAGATATAAGCATCAACGAAGGCCAGAGTTGCAATGTGTTTCTAGCAATTAATCTAATGCTCCTTTTATAGATGAGAAAAACAGGCTCAGAGAGGTTAAGTAACTTACCCAAAGACACACAGGGAGCTGGTGAGAGGATGAGGACCAGAGCCCAGATCTATAGCACGCCGAGTCACTTCAGAATGGCGTACAGATTCTTATTGTTCAGAAATACAAATCTGGTTTGGAAGGAAAAGAGATCTTTAAAATGTGCAGGAAGAAAGTTCCAAGGGTGTCTTGGTGAGAAGCTGAGGTGAGCTGTCCTTAACAGGCTCCTTTTTCATCCCGCATCAGGAAGCACGCCCTCCTGTAGAGCACCTTCCTCCCTCTGCTCTCCATGACCTTCTTCACAACCTTCGCAGCCCACGCTGACAATGACGACTATTTCCTGATCTCAGTTCTTCGAAGAGAAAGGATCAAACACCTCGCTTTCAGGATTCGTGAACTATTGTTGAAAGGGTAATAGACCCCTGAAAATGTAATTTTTCAAGAAACATTTGTGTCTTAGAAATGTACCCTGTGTCAAGAGGCCGCATCATTTGAAATAACATTCTTGCTGATCCGGAAAGGGTTTTGGTAGCTGTTGCTGAGAGCTGTGCCCAGAGAAAGGGGTTGGGTTAAATGCTCCTTATTCAGCTCAGCTAAGATCCCAGCCTGGGTCTCCTTAGCTGCCTTCAACTTGAATTGTTATTGTAATAATGACAATTCTTCACAATAATAACTATTTTTGTTTTTATATGGAGAGGGACCATGGCTTTTCTTTGGTTTTCAAATTGTCTGTGTCACAAAAAACAAACAAACAAACAAAAAAACTGAGAAGCACTGCTTAGGTCTTGCCATCTACAGGTGACTACAGCTGAGCAGTGGGTCCCTCCCCCTTCCTCAAGCACCCAACCCAGGACTTATGTGTGGTGTCCCGCCCTATCACAGAAAAGTGGACTCCCTGCACACCTCCTCTGGGCCAGAACAGCATGACTCCTCATGAGTTACACATCGCCACCTTGCAATGGCCACTAGAGGCAAGAGAATCATCTTCTGGTACAGTCACTATGGAAAAGAGTATGGGGGACGGGGTCCTCAAAAAGTAAGAATAGAGTTACCATATGACCCAGCAACCCCTCTCTGGGTATCCCTTAAAATTTTAAGAACATTTATTCACAAAGATATAGGAACCTCTATGTTCATTGCAGCATTATTCACGGTGGCCAAGACGTGGAAACAACCAAAGTGCCCTTCAATAGAGGACTGGATAAAGATGTGGTACATATGCACAATGGAATACTACTCAGCCCTAGGAAAAGATGAAATACTGTCATTTGCAACAATGTGAATGGATCTTGAGGCTATCATGCTAAACGAAGTAAGTCAGACAGAAAAAGGTAAGAACTGCATAATTTCACTCATATATGGGATATAACACTGAAAGTAACAACTGAACAAACAAGACACACAAAAACTCATAGACACAGATGACAGTATGGTGGTTACCAGAGGGAAGGGGGTAGTGAAGGATAAATGGGGTCAAATATCCTAGTATGGTGATGAAGAAGATTTGATTTAGGTGGTG